AGTAATTTAACATTTTCATGGTTTATAAGATTAAATACTCTATTAATCAAATAATTATTTTAATTTTCCGAATAAATACCAAAAGGGTGGTTCGCAGACAATAAGTAAGTATTAATGAGTTAAGTGCGTCCAATTCTGAGAAAAACGTCTCTTGCTTTTTCAATCAACTTCTCGAGATGCTTCTCTAAAAGCGTGGATATCATTTGGATATCTTTCAAATACTAAGATGTCAAGTTTTACGAATTGATTAGTCTTTTATGCTATCATAAACAAGATCTACATCTACATATAAATACACTATAAATAATAGTTTTAGTGATTTTGATGAGCAATACAACCTACCTATTTGCTTTTTATTCAATCGCTGTCTATTCAAAACGGCTATTGAAATAATATATTTATGTTAAAATTTTTACAAATTTAAATATGTACATATATATGAGTACATAATGTAAATAAAAGCGACTGCAAACAAATACATATTTCATATTTAATTCATATAATCACCAAATACACATGCAAAAATCGTAATGCATTCATATTCAAACACAAATACTTAACAAAGCCACATTTCCAAAGCCAAGACAAGTCATATCAGGCAAGTACCACAGGCCTAAACCCCACAAAATCGAAACCGAGCTAAATAATTCTTCAGTGCTGAGTTATTCGAGGGAAAAATGTGCAGATAAAATTATCAAAACCACATAAACACATGCACACATAAGCCGTTGAAACTGAGAATGGGAGAGGGTCTCTGCTACTTACAGCCACATACGTATTACGTATGGAAGATCGTTGCGATTGTAGCTGTAGTTGTTGATATTTCTGCTGCGATATTGCCAGACCTCTTAATGCGACTAGATTGCTTGGCTTTGCCGTCGACTATGTATGATCACTCCACCTCTGCGCTGTCTTCGCTGCTTTGCTGACTGATTTTTATTATTTTGTTGCTGTTTTAGTGATTGTTGTCGTCTCATTGCGTTTATATTTCGTATTTTTCACAACTTTGTTTAGGGTGAAAACTATCCACAAATACGAGTACAATACCAACGGGAATTGTGAACCCTGGCTATTTGCGCTCATACATAGCGCGTTTGTCTCTATTGAAAATACTTCTTCTGGTTTAGACTCGCAGATACGAGTACTGACAAATAAATATAATTTTTTCAATTTGGTTGTGGCCTGTTTTTATCGTTATCGCTTGTGGCTGCTATGATTGTGGACTTGTTGTTGTTATTGTTCCCGTTGCCATTCCCGTTGTCGCCGCGATTGTCGCTGACCATTGACGCTCTGATTCTATTGACGAATTTAATATTACAATAATACGAGAATTCCACAATATCAGCTACCGCCTCAATACGAGTATTTAGCGTGGCTTGAGTCATTCCCACTACCAGCACAATAAATGCTTTTAACTTTATTGTAAATAAAAATTTAATTTTTTAAAGCCTCCACTTATCATCAATTCAATTTAGTTTATTTCAGTGCTGTTGACTTTTATTATATACCTACATACATACATTTTTGTTGTAGATTTTTAAGTCGGGGTAGAACAGAATTCGTATTTTGTATTTAAGAAATTTTGTTCTAATCAAATATAATTGCATTGCCCTTATCTGTACTAGGTAGAGCATTTATCCATAAAATGTTAATATTTTTATTTTAATACTCTACTTACATATATAATTTTAATTCAATTTGACAGTGTTATTAAGTGAATCTGATGTGAATCTGATTTGAAATTCTATTAAGCAAACAATTATTTAAAGCTACTGTTCAATATTGCTACGCAAATTATAATAACATATTAACTACTACTACTGATTTCCTGAACTCTTTCTGGAGCATAAGGCCTCCACCATCTATTAAAATCGTATTCTATAAGGAGCTGTTCTTGTGATATCATTTCAAGCAAATCCGGCATCAATTAATTTTTTCTTTTTCAATTGTACTCCGCCATGCACAACATTTTAAATTTAGCTATTCTACTATTTATACACTTAAAAGACTCCTATGATGACATGATCAGTGTAGAATTAAAGTTGACGGATTGCTTTTCAAACTAAACAATATCTCTAATGGATCCTCTATAGGCAGGGTTGCCTCCTCTTCAACTTGGCGATTGATAAAGTAATTTAAAATTTTGGTATTTTAATAATAAGGTCTTTCGTTACCACATCTAGCCAGATATTGGCATACCCAAGCGACGTTGATATCTTTCAGGAATCCCACATAGTTTAACAAGCATCCTTCGCCTGCGGTTGTACAAGAAAATGAACTTACACATATTAACAACGAGAGATGAAAGCCTCGATTTCAGGCTATACACGGATTTGAAATTGTGGAACACTTTAAATAGATTGGAACAATGATAGTAGTTAAAATTAATATGCAAAAAGAAATACGCGGAGAGTTCATAAAATTCTATTAAATATATTATGTATATTTGTGTAAATATGTGTATACTAATAACAATAAAAAAATATTGACGAAAAAATTATGAATATATGTGAATGTATGCTAGTGCACACATAGTCATTATAATTCTCATTAAGTTCGAAGTCATTTTCCTTTAAATGTTTATATTTTATATTAAAAATTATGATTATTTTAATAAAACTATAAGTACTTGGTCATATTGTAACGTTGAATGGTATGTTTATTTGTTGCCCGCGCTAAAGTGGTATATTCATATTTATATAGAAATAAAATTAATTATAATAACAGCAAAGGTGTACTTGGATGTGGGAAAACGTGACAATCAAATGAAGAAAAATTAACACAGTTATAATTTGTATATAATTACTACATGTTATAACTATATTTTTTCTATATGCTTCAATATCAGTTTCCATCAAATTTATTTGATTTTATTTATGATTTACTACAAATTTCTAAAAAATTCACAACTTACGACTTACTGATACAGTTCTCACCCAATTCGATAGAATCAGATTTAGTACATGATTATTATCTTGTAACAGAACAAAAGAACAAAGCTAAAGAATATTAACTTATTGGGATAATAATATAACGGAAATGTAGTTTATGATTCATTAGATCAGTAAATCGATCGAATAACGTCAATTGTTAGAATTGTTAGATATCTGGTGCGAAAACTATAAAACAAATGCAATGTGTAGTCATTAAAAATTTAAATAAGAAGGAAAAGATGTATAAATATAAAGAAACATATATAACATGACGAAAACAACTGTTGTGATCAACATCATATCAAACATGTCAACCTAAATCTCAGTTTGTTATAACGATGTCCCTCCATGAATGATATGCATTTCTTAATTCGTGTTACATTGTTCTGTTCAATAACATATCATGGTGCATTATATCGAAAAGCACTTGGGAGTTTGACCACAATGAAATACAGTTGTTCAACGTTCTGAGAGTATGTCCGTTTCAATTCTATTTACATTATCGCGTTTGTTTATAACTCTAAGTTGACTAATTGTGCTTAGATCGCTGTTGGGTATTCTCTGAGTAAGTCTCCTAGTCGATTACAAGGTACTTCACAAAGAGTAAGATTAATCAGTGGACATAAGAACATATAATCTTGCCTTTCATAGGGTCGCCTCAAAAAGGTTTCATTATTTAGTTTTATCTGAAATTAATGAGTGCCCTATACTTTTAGCACTTCTAGTAATTTATACCATTTATAACATAAAAAGTATCATATTAATAAAGCATCGTAATACATATCAGTAGATTGTTATCTTCTTATTATAATAATTGATGATTGTGAATGTTCACTTGTTATTGGATGATAATAATAATGATCAAATATTTCTACACAGCATATATTTTCACTTTTATTATCGTCAATCTATGATAATTTTTTTCAAAACATATTTTTTCGCTATCAACATCGGGTATCGACGACATGTTCTTAACCCTACTTAACACTTATAGGAACTTCGTAAACTACTTCAATAAAATAATAGGCTTATGATTGCTGCTCTAACTCTGGTCGTTTTACTAGTCTTGTAAATAGTGAAAGGTTTGTACATCTTAGAATAAGGACTCCTCAATCTACGTTAATCAAGCCGATCGAATTCGTATTAAATAGCCTATATATATGAATTAGAAATATGTTAATACTTGTATGTCATATTCTTGTATGGCAATTGTAGAACTTGCGCTGTTAAGGATGAAAGTACTCTATCAAGGTGGTTCGCTATCAATCCAGAAATTTACAACAAGTCTAGATATAATTAAGACATGCTTAATGATCATTGCTCTTAACCACAAAAACTATTAAGATTGTTTGGGAAGCCTTTTATGAATATATAGTTCAAGCATTACAGCTGAATATTACTTGTTCTGATTTAAACTTTATTTCGAGAACAGATAAGCTTAAGGACATTGAGTATATAAAGTGAAAACGAATCTAAAATAAAAATATCATGATTTATCATTACAAAGCTAAATATAAACAACATTGTCTTAATATGACATTAAAAAATACGAGTATAACATTTTACTAGCTCCGACCCTATATACCTAAAATTGTTATTGGAGAAACTGATAATTGATGCTATACAATTATCTTTTATTCAAACAAATTAGTAATAGGATATTGGACATAGTAAATAAATTTACTTTACATATTTATATCTTTATATATGATTTTTGTTATATATTTATTTTTAGACCCAACCCATTTTAAAGTGTAAATCTTTGCAGTTAAATGGGGAGGAATTAGTTGAACTGTTCTGGAATATATTGTTTCTTTACTCGTCATCTTATTTTATCAATGCTTCAGTAATATTCTGATGATCTCTACTTAGGTTGTAATCAAAGTCATTTCAATAAAAACCATAGCAAAATATGTATATTTAATAAATAGTGATCAGATCATACGTTCCCAGAACAATGGATAGAGTATAGTTGACACAAACTAAGACACTCTAAGGAAAAACAATAACAATAACAAAATATTTTGTTTATATAAGTACAGTCATAAAATTGAAACTGCTTAGATATACAAAATTATATGTTTTCAATAAAAATATAACTACGTTTACCGAGTGCGTAGTCTGGTTTCGAAGCTTAAAGATTTAGTTCAATAGTTAACTTCACTTGGAGCGGACGACGTATTTTTGCTTTGATTTGCAACTTACGAAATATTTCGCAGCGAATAAGGTGCATATAATGGGTAGAATTGAACAGTGGTTTTTATGTGGAGTCCTCATATTCATGTATTTCATGTTAAGTGGGAAGAGAGCGACCGAGAAGAAGATTGTCACAGATATCAAAATAAATGAATACTTGGTACCAGCCGACGTTTTAAGAGGTATAAAACTATTTGTACTTAATGTGCCTATTGCTTTATATATCTCTTACTATATGTTTCAACTCAATACTACTTTGTGGTGGATACCATATGTTTACTATGTACATAAAGGGTAATTCGTCTTGTGGTTACAAAAGTTAAAGTAAATAAATAATACTTGTGATTGGTATTTTTTTTAAATTTTCATTTCAAAACATTTTTTTCAATTGGATATAATACAACATCATTTAAATATCCTAGATCAAAATCTTGATAATACTTAGCTGTCAATAGCTCGACCATAACTGGGCTTATGTTTGTTTTTAAAGCGTAGAGAGTTTGAAGATTGTCTGCATGAACATGGTTCCTTGCGTAACTCCACAGAAAATAGTTCAGTATAATATTATTATATTGTATACAAATAGTACAATATTAGTGTTAAAGACTTTATACATTTTTTTTCCTATTCTATCCTGTTTGTACTCTACAGTATTATTTAGTTACTACATACCCTTAAAATTTATAGACTTTCCGGAAAGATGCTTTGCCGCACACCATTGCAAATTGTTTAAAGTTGGAGAAAGCTGGGACTTAAAAACAACATGTGGTCGGTCAACATGTGTTCGAGATAAAATTAACTCAAACAAGTGACTGTTTTTTTATTAACCCTGACATATATCTCAAATACTGAATTTATCAATTTATAGGCTTTTCGAAAAAGTGGAAATTTGTGAACCATTGCCACCAAATACAGCAGAATGTACAATATATGTTCCTGAAACCGACATATCAGCATCGTTTCCGTGTTGTTGTCCTAAATTTTTTTGCAATGTCAATGATAACTGGAACTATCAAGATGAAAGAGAAAAGAAGGAAGGAGAACGGAAAGATGTTGAGAAGGATAAAAAAGAAAGAAAAGAAAAACAAAAGATTGAGCTTTAAAGAACATAAAATCAATAAAGAAAAAAATTTAATTATATACTATAATCGAAACGATATGCAATTATATGTATTTAAATTATTTAATTTTATTATGATCTAAATAGTTTTTTGTGAGTACTAACAAATATTTGATATTACAAGTTTGTCGTAGTTCCATGCGTATTATACATTCTCTTAAAAAATAAAAATATAAAACACAAAATTTAATTTTATCTTTATAAAAATTTAGAGTGGGATATACTGACAAAAATTTGATTAATTTGAAGAAATCTCTGAGTTTGAAGAAACTCAAAATACAAACTTCGAATATATCTTAAAACGAGATAAGCAGTTCTTTACTTGTATATGTATATTCCATTTATGTTAGGTTTATTGTAAACTTGGAAAAATTGGAGCGTGATCTGATTTCAATAAATCACAAAAATCAATTTCGTGCCTTAATTGATTTTTAAAATACTTGTTACCTTATCATTTGACCCGATTTGACACTGCCATTAGTTTTCCTCTGAGGCCATTTGAAATCCAACATTTATATCAACAATCTAAGGACGCTAGACAATCTTAAGGCCAACATCCGCTAAGAAACACCCACCATACTGGCTAAAACATTGAAACATACGATCATATATGTTAAAAAAGTGAGGCCATCACCCATTCAAACAAAGAATGGTCACTTACGCGATATGATCTTTAGAAAGAGATATAAGCAAATCTCCTTAAACATGATTGTAAACTTGAAAAGTAAAAAAAAATTTTATTTTATATTTATTTGGTAAAGTAGTGGATCTGCTTAATATAGAGAACCCCGTATATGTACTTGCATATTATGCAGAGAGTCAAGGAGTATCAATATAATAACAGCTCTTATGAGGGTCACTATTTATATTTTGAACCTTGGCAACACTAATGGTTGTTAGGTGTTATCTACCATTTCCATATGAAAGTTTGACATTATTAAATGTAACTTACCTTCAACTTTTTGTCAAAAGAGCGGTATTTGTGTTACTCATATATACAGTGATTCGTGAATTGAGTGTTAGCGAAAAAATGAAATCAACGCAAGAAAATTTTCCTGCGATGATTTATTACGACTTTTGACGCGGATGAAGTTCCAACCTTTGCTACTATGAAACGCTGGTACGATGATTTTAATAGTGAATAGTGAAGTGAAGGTCGTCCAAAATCAGTTGTTGCGCCAGAAAACATTGATGCTGTGCAAAAACTGATTATGCAAGATCGTGATGCGACATACTGCGAGATTGTGATTGAGGTGAAACCCTAGGCATTAGTTCCATTTAGAGAAAGATTTGTTCTCGTTGAATTCCATCCCCAATCATTTATCAAAATTTCAAAAAGATGCTCGTGTTGATTGGTGCACAGAAATGCTCAAGATGTATAATACAATGGCGGTGCTTCAAAAAATATATACGAGCATTAGATTGTGATGAATCATGGATATATGCATACGAACCGGAACGTAAACAGCAGTCAACAAACAAGCGCCGTTGGATCATTCTCCAACAAGACAATGCAAGTGCTCACATATCTCGTCTAATAACCGACTATTTAAACATTTAAAAAATCGAATTAAAAGGTCATCCGCCGTATAGTCCTGATTTGGCACTACATGACTTCTTCTTGTTCCCGAATGTGAAGAATAAATTACTTAGCACCAAATGACTTCTTCTTCTTCCAGAACGTCAAGAATAAATTGCGTGAACAACGATTTCTGAGGTCCATTGGCGGAAAAAGTCGTCGTTGCATTTAAGAACCATGTTTTGGAGGTCTCGGAAGAAGATTGGAAAAAATGCTTTGACAAATGGTTTGAAAGCATGCAAAAGACTATTAATCATAAAGGAAAATACTGCGAGAAACAGTTAAGCAATTTCCAACGACAAGTTAGTATTTTTTAAATATTAGGAACAAAATATAAATAGCGACCCTCGTATGAGTAAATACATTAAATATTATTCATTGCTTTTTGATTCATTTTAGATAAGATTTAATTCAAGATTAATTAATAACCTAATCGATGTTTGAATATTAATTGTGAAATATATGGATTTGTATAGATTGAAGTTTATATAGAACAAAATTATTGACATTCAGAGTACATACTGCTGAACACATTATGACGTAATTATCGTATACCGATACGTTTCAAATTAGTATTAATTCTAGGACCATTAAATCAATCGATGATATTGATGGTGAAATATATATATATGTGCTTATGTTCAAAACTATGAGCTGCTATTTTAATTTATTAAAAAAGTATACAGAATTAATTGAAATTGAAAAAGGAAAAATGTATCTATCGCTATTTTTATTAATACATCATTAAAATATTTTAACAGAAATAATGTGAAAACACTTTTAACTAACCAACACCTTTCAACAGAAAACGAGAGCCGAGCTTAATTTGTTTATTTAATTTTATTAATAAATTCGGGCAATAAAAGTACACACATAGAAGTTCATAAAATATTGAACGACCGTTTAGACGTACGTGTACGTCGATACGGCTGTGAACTGACGTGTTTATGTGCCTGACTGAGTGATCGTATTTAAACAACGATAACGAGGCCAATAAATATAATAAAGCAACTCAACGGAAAAATAAGATATGGGAAGAGGGGTTAACTGATACCAGTGAGTCGGGTATTGCAAGTGTGGGTTAATTCTACACAAGTAAAGACTCAAGTATCTGGAAGTTCACTTAGTAGAGCATTTAGAGAGAATTAAGCATTCTTCAAGCCATGCATGGCTTATCTATTAATGCGATATATACATTTTTTGTAATTAAGTTTTTATTTCTATTTCTAAAATGGGTTTTCAATCGAATCTGAAAGACAAAAATGTGTTTCACAACTCAACTCTTAATTATCATATTATTAACAAAAATTGTTATTTAAAAAATAGTAAAGTGAAGTCATATTTTCAGCAGCTAAAATTACTTATGTTAACGAATTTAAAATTTGGTTGTTTCCATTGGTATGGGTTGATTTATGCAAGTGAAATAGTTTATTTGTTTACATTTTACATACAAAATGTATAACAAATATTTAAAATTTAAGTAATTTTCCTTGTGGTTGCATTCTAAATTTTTCAGCTTAAATCAGTTGATTTATTTATAATGAGCTCATTTATATAAAAGTAATTTTTTTAATAGCAAATTATCCTTAATAAATAAAACTGCCTAAATAAGACAAATGGAAATATGGTATAAAACATATAATTAAAGTTATAATAGTTAGATTGTCTAAAATTAGTACATATTAAGATGTGATCATGATGACCATCCACACTGGATCAATAGATAAACCTTTCTAACTTTTAGGTTATAAACTAATTAAAGATATTAGAATTATTATATGAGAATCAATAAATTTAAATAAATTTAAATATTTAAATAAAAATATCATGGTAGAATACAGATAAAAGATGCAATCCGTACTGAGCAGTTTTTTAGTTACTTTTATTAAAACGAAAAATTTAAGATTTTTTTGGTCTAATAACAAGTGAAAAAAAGAGATATCTGCTTAATCTTAAAGTATTTGGGTTAAAACTGGCAGTTAGTCGTAATCTAATTCTCGTCTGAAATCAAACTATTCACTACAGAAACCGTGCCAAAACATGTACTCAACTGGCTAAAGGGTAGTTGTCTAGACTATATACACAGATTTAAATGAAAGTATTACTCACTGCGTTTATGCTGTCATATTAGGATGGTAAACTGAAAACGGCAGTGGAGGAATCAGTTTTTAATGAGCAATGGTGGTACCCATAGAATATTAGTAATTTCAATAGCATTGTACATTGTAAGACCTTTTAAGCACCTTTTTTTGTACTTGTAATCTTCGTTGGATAAGTCACAAAAGATTATTTGGAAACATGATGTTTTAGATCTATAAACCTTAATCCTCCGTTTTGTTGGGTGATACATGGATTTTGATGGTGCGAATTTCATATTCCATACATAGTAGTAAAGTTAAAACCTGAGATACTGCGGTTTTTAATAATTCGCTAATAAAAAAATATTCAAGTTTTACAAACGAAACTCGTAAGTATTACTTCCATTAACATTGATGGACATACAAAATTATTGAACTTGGGTGTACAAAAAATACCCGAAGTCTTACTGTTGAAAAAGAATTATATGGCCTAACATAGTTGTTGAAACTCTATGCTCCATTGTAAAATGAGGAACAAAAAAACATATATTATACGTTCCTTAGTATAAATATTACTTAAATGTATTTTTGAATTCAATTGTTGCTTTTATTTGGATCATAAGGCGTAAAGTTCATAAGTGAACTCTGCTTACATGTATCTTAGGAAAAAAAATTTAAAGCCAAGATACCAACACAACAAAACCTGTTTCATCTCAGTGGGTGATATATGGAAGTTCAGGCGCAGATCACTAAAGCTTCCAGTCCGGTCACTTAATTTTACTAGAAATTAAACAAACGCATTCAGTAGCAAAAACTTGGTGGATAGCCATTTCATTAAGTCATCTATAATCTATGGTTACGTCTCTGTTCATCGTAACATAGTTAGATCCTCTCAGCTTCTTTGTTCTCCTTCGAACTCTTTCACATGATTCTCTCTCTCTAACGGCAGGAATGTAGAACACTTTAATACATTTATTAAGTCCAGAAAACTCAACCAGGCTTGAGTGCACAACTGGATTTAGCATAAAAAACAACAAGTTTTAATATATAGCAACAGAGAGTTTTTCGGAGAAGTACAAAGTACGGCCCGCGTGCCACATGCGGCCCGCGACTTTATTTTAATCTACTAAAATAATAATTTTATTTTTATGGTATACCAAATAAATAAATGAATTTAAATTGATAAATTAATAAAATTAAATTTATCATTATATATTTATTTTTGTCGAAAACAACTATGAACGTATGTATTTGTTTCTGCGGCCCTCCAAACTGTTTAGTGATTTGTATTGGCCCGCGATGGCATCTGGTCTGGACAGTTCTGGT